ACCAATATTTCTGGACCTGACTGTATACATATTGAATCTGGAGATTTCCCCCCCCCGTTTTTAACAAGGACATGAGTTGTAAAGGCAAAGACTGTAACCCAGTATTCAGATTATGGTCCACTCTAGTGCGTCTTGGTTTCTGTGCACTAAATCCCCTCAGATTGGGCTGGTCGCCCTCTTCCACGGCAGCTTCAGGAGAGACACTCATTGGACCCATGGGGAAGGAAGGGGACACTACAAGAGTTGATTGTTGTTGCTTCCTTTTTTTGCACTTTATTATTCAGTAATCTTTGTTCAACTTATTTCAATAAAATACAATAAAAACCTGCCACTAAAGGCTTGCACAGTCATAATCAACTTTCCCCAGCTTTTTAAATTAACTGGTGCATTAAAGCATTGCTCATATCCTGTTTTCTAAAGGTGATGCCAGCTAGAAGTCAGCTCTAATCTAATCCACTGCAGTGATGAGAGTTTGGTTGCAACACCAGCCACCCCACTGATCACTAGGGTGGATCTGTCTATTTGACTGGCTAGTGAGTGTCCCCTTCCTTCCCCATGGCTCCAATGAGTGTCTCTCCTGAAGTTGCAGTGGAAGAGGGCAACCAGCCCAATCTGAGGGGATTTAGTGCACAGAAACCAAGACGCACTAGAGTGGACCATAATCTGAATACTGGGTTGGAATTGTAAAACTGTCTTTGCCTTTACAACTCATGTCCTTGTTGAAAACAGGGGGAAAAATAATCTCAGGATTCAAGCTGCCTTGGAGGTATTCTCTTCAGCTTCACTCTTACTCAGGAAATCCACCTCACTGCTGACAACGTGCATGTTGGCCCATCAGCTGATATGTCATGAATCAGAAGGAGCACAGAATACACCAAATGAGTACTATCCCTTTTCATTTCAGGGGGGGGAAAAACCCAGACTTTAGGGATGCTAAAATCTACGGGGATATGTATATGAGTACATGAATGCAACCTCTCCAAAAAGCTCAGAAGACAAAAGGTTAACTAGAACACTGTCTCCCTAGTTAAGAATGTATGTTTTCATTATTCTCCACTGCTCCTTCTCCCTCTTTAGATCTAGCAAAAGAAAGACATGTATGCCAATTTGCAGTCCTTGAATTCCCTGGGCACAGACAAGTTGCCTGGTCCACAGCTCTGCCAACTTCTGGTTTCAATTCCTATGCTCTGCTTCCCATGAACAGTAAAGTATCTTACCCAAATCTGCAGCTTGACTCTTTTTTCATTCCTGTAGACAGTCTTCACCTTGAAGTCGATGCCCACAGTACTAACAAAGTCTGAAGTAAAGGAATCATCAGCATATCGGAAGAGGAACGATGTCTTGCCTACGCTGCTGTTGCCAATGATTAAAAGCTTGAACATGTAATCAAAGTTTTGGTCAGCAGCATCCTTGGGCATCTGTCGGGTGTCGTTTGCAGAGGCCATCTAAGGGAGGGAAATGGTTAACTCTAATGCAGCTCAAGGCCAGACCAGAATCCCAGCACTCTTTCTAGAGTTCACAAACAGAAGCCACATTCAAGCATTATGACCCCCCAAGCAATCTGCATCCTCTCTGGCCTCTCCTTGTTGACAGGGAAATAGTACACATGCTCAGCTACACCACAGTGCTTCCTGTGATGGGAATCTCTGCATAGCCACGATTCCAAGTTGTTAGAGCCTTGTAACCCCATTCAGCTCAATGTAAGAAGAATTTATTTTCAGACCTCCTCTGTCAAGATAGGGAAGAGAAGAGGGCAGGGCTGGAGAACATCTAGAACTGAGTATGACAAGAGTCCTCACTGCTGAATACATAACTGATTGTCCCTTAACATGAAGCAACTCAAAAGATCACATTCAACTTTGGGGAATTCTCAGCTTCTTCTAAGATAACTGTCTTGGTTCAAGCTGCCTTGGTTGAATCTTCATCTCTCAGATTTTAAAGTCAGCAGACTCAGAGCGCTAGTACATCTTGAAGGTTTAAAGTGCTTATCCTGGAGCAACATCCACTTGGACTTGTCTCCCTGCCGTATGGCAACTATACACATGTTAGATGATGAATTCCAGTAGTCATTAGCAGTAGATAACAATAGTAGATAAAGGAAGGATTATATCTTTGGTAGTAATAAAACAGCTTATTTCGCACAATCAGCTCTGGGCTTTCTGCCATGATATCTAACTAGGGAATATATCCACACACCCAGTGCATCTAATTACCCCTGATCCACAATGTCACGTTATCTTTATTCAGCTATTTTGGATGATTATTCAGTCCCCAATGCATATCAGGTTAGGGGTTTGGAAAGACGGCAAATTTATTAGTGCATGTTGATTTTACTTACAAGCTGCTTTTGCAGAATTTCTATCCTTAAATATAAGTAATTAAAAAGAAATCTATAATACTTTGAGAGGGAAGATGTTCACCTGACCTTTAGCTAATCTCCAGGAGAAATGCAGCAACTGCCTGCACTGTGCATTTTACAGAGAAAGATCTGGTCAAAGACACACTGCTGTTCCAAGGGATCTCCCTGAGTATCCAACAGGTTTGCCACAAACCAAACTTCATTCTATAGAATTGATAGCACTGCAAAAAAAAGGGGGACATCACATATTGGATTGGGTGCCCCAATAAAGATGTTAGACGTGTTGTTTTATTGGAAGAATGCAGCTATGTGACTCAACTCAAGTACAGCAAATTTAGCCACCCAAGAGAATTCCCAAATTGGAGGTGTAAAATTGTCAGAAAAAAATCTCTCTCAGCACCTAGATCAGGGATGAACTGGAGGTTGCACTTTATTATTATTGTTATTATTTTAAATCTTTATGCCCCCGAGGGCTGCAAAACTCTGTGAAATTGGACTAAAGGGATCAGATAGGATTGCAGCTTATATACCAGCCTCCCTGCTACACAGCGGCCTCCCCACCTGAGCTGCTTGACTCTGTGGCCAGGCTGGCAGTGGAGTTATAGTCCTGGGAGATTTCAACCTGCCTTCTTTGGGTCCAAAGTTGGAGGCAGCTTGGGAGTTCATAGCCACCACGGCAACCATGGACCTGATTCATGTCATTGACAGTTCAGCTCATAGTGGGAGTCACACATTAGATCTAGTTTGTATCTCAGGGCAATGGCAATGAGATTTGGGATTGGGGAATGTTGTCATCACTCTCTCGGAGTTTCCAGGGCTGCTCCTGTGGCAGGGGGAAGGATCGATTCAAATGGTCTGCCATTTGAGGGGGTCCAGAGGAACTTGGGGTAGTTCCTGATGCTCTGATGCATGGTTTGACCGAAGCCTTAGCTGCTGCTTGTAATGAGCAAGCAATGATGGCTTTGGATTGGATCATACCTTTGCGTGTGTGTGGACAGGAATGGGTCACTCCCCTGACTTGGAGGAGGTGATATCCAGTCCCTTCTCAAGAGGCCATCCTTGGACCCAGCGGTACTGGACAACTGTTTCCAGCCTTCTTTTTAGGGAAGGTTGTTGAGAAGGCTTGCAGCTCTAAAGGGCTCTGAAGGAAACAGACTATCTTAACCTGTGCAGTTGGGTTTCAGGCCAGGATATAATATTGAGACAGCATCGATCATACTTGAGGATGATCACTGGGAGGCTTAGGATGTTAGGTGGTCTATCCATCCTGGGTCTCCTTGATCTCTCAGCAGCTTTCAATACTATCGATCATGGTATACTTTTAAACTGATTGAGGGAGTTGGGAGTGGAAGACACGGTTCTTTGGTGGTTCTTTTTCTTCCACCAAGATCAGTTCTAGTCAGTGTTAACAAGAGGGGAGAGATCCAGCCCGCAACCTCTATACTGCAGGGTGCCTCGGGGACCAACTCTTTCCCTGCCCCTATTTAATATCTACATGAAACTGCTGGGCAAGGTCATCCCTTGGCATGAAGTACCATTATTATTCTGATGATAACTGAGCTGTACATGTCTGCCCTGAGCCCCCCTTCCAAGCAATGCTGTCAGGTTGTTTCCCCAGTGCCTGGAGGCTGCACAGGTCTAGATGGAGAAAAATCAGCTTCAGCTCAACCCTGACAAAACTGAGTGGCTGTGGGGTTTAGCGTCTTCTGTATCTAGTGATTTTCCATCATTGACTCTAAATGGGGTAAACTCCCCCAGACAGAGTTGGTATGCAATCTGAGGGTTCTCCTGGACTCATGCTTCTGCTCAAAGAGCAGATGGCAGCCATGGTTAGGAGGGGCTTTGCACAATTACATCTTATGCACCAGTTGTGCTCATTCCTAGATTGGGAGGCACTGCTCACAATCACTTGTACCTTAATCACTTCTCAACTGGATTACTGCAGCTTCCAGTTTTAGTTTATTCTTTCTACATTTTTGTCTCTGCTTTACAAGAAACCTGAAAGTACCAATCAAAGACCCAACTCCTAAATGTTATATCTTCAAAGTTTTCTGTTGCTTTTTCATTCCAGTATACTCCTGCATAATTGGAATCCAAATGTGTATAACCTTATTATGGCTACAAATCTATATACATGTACAACTTGGAGTAAGGCCCCCTGAATTCAGTGGGAGAAGATGGCACTGCTACAGTCCCTAACAACCTTCTTCACATCCACCTTAAAACCAAACTATATCTACAGATAAGGACTTGACGCACCATATTCACTCTGAAGCCTGCTGATTTTGGTTTTTTTTTTTTTTTTTAAATTTTAAAATGTTCTTCTTGAGCCTTTAACCATACTGTGTAAGTCAAAGAGTTAGACATTAAACCATGAATCTTGACTGTTAATGAATACATTTTATAGGTAATATCAGTTAAAGCATTCTGCTTTTCACACATCAGCAGGACACTTACAATGATCAATAACATGCCCATAGATACATGTATCCTCAAATGAGCAAACCTATTGCAACAGCCGCTGATGTAAGACAAGCTTCTCTTCCTCTTCTCTTTGCAAACAAAGCAGTACAGAAAGTGGAGAGGAAGGACTCCAACAGCAGCCAAACCCCATTCCTCAACCACATCCGGAATCCCTCCCCAGGCACATGTTAGAGATAAAGAAAGCATCTAGGAGGAGTCAATGATCTTGTTCTACCTGCCTGAAAGTAAATGAGTGCCATGCTATCTCACCCTGTCTTGGCACATCCTAGTTAGCAAACATTAGTATGATTTTGAAAATCCACCTAAGAGAAGTGATCGCCTGTTGACATTACTTGCACATCACTGATGCCAAGAAGATAAGGGTGATTCTCTGTGCAGGTATCACTGAAGAGATATTTCTAAAACAGAAAACAGATACACACAGACACACAGACGCTTCCAGCATTGTCTCATTCTGTGGAATCCTTGGGGTTCTCTGAGCTTGGTTGTTTTCTTGCAAACGTTTCATTACCTGG